CACTAGAGGGGGTGAGGAAGCCACACTAAGCGATGTGGTAAAAAGTTTCCCGCTGATAGAAATTAAAGGATTCTGGTATTAAACGTCTTTGATGAGATGCGAAGACGCGATACTTTCACAAATTGGCTTGTCGGATTTCCCTCAGGGGGTTCAAAACAGAAAAAAGCATTTGACTTTGAACGATCTCACCCCACTATAGTACACATTTTCAATAATTCACACTTACAGATCTGCATTTGCTACGCTGAATATAAATAATTTATCACCCTGAGTGTGGCAGTCCCGGCACTTTCGAGCAACAGTTTATATGCTGAATGTAAAAACCTTGGTATATGTTGAAAAAAATGAAAACACGATTAAAAATCTAACCCCTGACTTGACAGAACAGTTGGCTGACAGGATGAGTTTGTGTGTTTTGACGGGTTGCTGGAGGGTAATGGAATGGCTATGGGAACATTGGAGGCTGGACTGAATGACAAGATACACCCAAAACTGCTTGAACTGCTCCCAAATGCCCTGGAACCCATGTCAAGTCTCAGCACAGCCAGCTGTTGAGTAATTTACTCTACAATTAAATTCATATTCATTCAAATTACTTTCTCATGATCAGGTCCAAGCAGAAGCTGCTGAAATTCCATATATATAATGAAATTACATTAATTACGCATTATTAATATGCCTGCACAACAGTGATACAATCTGAAATATATTGTTATCGATTGTATATTGATATTTGCACTGAAACAATACCATAAGCCACCTCATGCGATAACCTTTGTGCTAGCTCCCCATTCCACTGTTGATCACTCCAAGGTGTTGTGTTTTCCCCCCTCTAAAACAGGTTTATAGCGCCTATTAAAACCAAACGCTTTGCTTTGTAAGTGTATGATTTGTACTTTTTAATTTGCATACTGAACTAATGGTGAAATGATCCCGCAACCTCCACTGACACCACCTCATTCATTCCAACTCAGACGTCCTCATTGTGGCTGACAGATGAACCAGTGTTAACAGGATAGTAACATGGTAGTGTAGTACTGCACAGCACCAACTCATATTAACAGTGTGATTGACCTGCCCCTGTCACTCAAACACCAACCCTAACATCCATAATCACAGCCCATTCTATAATCTGACTGTCCTCTTTATACCAGAACATCTATTTAACCCACTAATAGGATGACTTGTGTGTGTGTGGGTCTGTGTTAGAGCATGTGTGTGCACGAGAGAGAGAAGGATCCAATTAGAGGACAGCCAATCACTGGATTAATGAGAGAGTGGGGATGACAGATTACTCTGCTAGTAGGGACTTGTGAAAAAATGCAGGAATGGAAGATTGGGGGATGGCATGGGGTAAAAATGACAATGGGTTGTGAGAGAGGGTTAGAGAAATGGAATAAAGATGAAGAGAAAGGAGATGAAGAACGAGGAGCAAGGAACACAAAAGACTGAATCCTCATTCCCTTTACAAATCCCCTTAGAAATGAATAGGGGTTGTAGGAGCAAAAATCTATAATCCTGAAAGAAAAACAAACCAAACAAAGAGGACACAGTGACAGGATGGAGGAAAGAAAGAGAAAAAAAGAGACTGCAAGGATGGCAGAGAAATGAAATGAAGGATGAGAAAAATACAATGACCGGAATGTGGAGAGAATTTGTTGCCGCTCACGATACTGCATGGGTATGTGTGTTTGTGTTTGGCTAGCTTTCTTCTCTAATGAGTGTATAATGTGACACAGACAAGCAGGGTACAGTGTGACACTCAGCATGAAGCCCTTCCCTGAAGGTGGACTCTGTCAAGGTGCTCCAGTGGTCCCACCACATTGTAATTTACTTATTGTTGATTATACATTTTATTATGCAGTCATACATCATCAGCCTTTCAGTCCTTACAGACATAAAAATCCTGTTTATATTTAGTTTTTTGTGATGGAAAGTGATAATACTAAAGTTTGGACTGAAAAGGGTTTTGAAAGCCAGAGCACAAAATACAAATTTGTCCACTGATAAAAATAAATTATAGAGCCAAGCAATCGTTATAGCCTGAGTAATCATGTTTACCGTCTTTAATTCACTTTGTGATAGAGAGCGATGATTGCAGTGAGGACAAGGTTTGCATTCCTTTAGCATTAATAAAAAGGAGAAGTGTACGGAGCCTTTTCACCATTTTCCAAGTTGTCTTTAGTGTCAACTGCTGGGATCATCAGAAACATGAGCAACTCAAGCTAACAAGTCACAGTTATTATGGTTTCCACATGGTCTCTGCAGTCACTATATCCTAAATGTGTAGTTCAATCGGTCGCAGAGCCTCAAAGCCGCTGCCTGCAGCAGTATAAATTATATGGAGTAAGAAACCATCACCTATCACACATTTCTGCAATCTGCATCATTATTAATGACTACATCCTTACTTAATCTCCTTTTTCTGTCCCTCTCCTCATCCTCTCTCCCTCACGGTCTGTCTCTTGATCCACCCCAGGTCTGGCACCATCTGAAGAGGAGGGTTTCAAGGCTAAGAACAGCAGGGGAGGATCTATATCGACCAACTCTGTTCTCAGCCCCCTGTTGTGGGCCCCCCTTCTTCTTCTTCTCTCTTTCTATCATGTGTTTCCTCTTTCTGTATTTCTCCCTTGTTACATTTATCACACTCTCTCTGAGTGGCTGGGTCCCAGGCACCAGGAACAGCAGGTGGCCTACTATCGACCTGCTCAGCCTGCTTTAACAGCATTTGCCACCACTGGGAATCGGGAATGTGCATGCGTGTTAAATCAGGACAGGTGCTTTTCCTGATGTCTCAGTCTGCATGAAGAATCACAGTTAAGGTCTAAAACTCTTCTATAAAACAGAAAAGTATTGAAATAAAAAGGACAAAAAATATCAGTCTCAGTCAAATGAGTTATGGAAACAATCAGTAATCAGTAAACAACCATTAAAATGATAAAGGGTTTGAATGGATTGGTGGAATAAAGTCACATTCGTATTATATTCATTCAGTAAATGTAAATGAGTGTGTGTTTGTGTGTATGTGTTGTGTTCATTAACTGCTCTTTATATTTGTGTGTATGGTAATTCCCAGATGTTCCTCATAAACAGTTAGTGGAGGTCGGCCCTCTAACTAGGCTAATAAACTAATTACTAAGAGAGCCTAACACACACACACACACACACACAGACACACACACACACAAAAACTACTATTGGCCGACAAAACTCACTGAGTTTTTTCAATATAAGCTAATTGGCATGCAAATTAAAAATGCTAAATGTGTAACACGATGTTTGGCGATAATAGCGAGACATAAAGGAATCCAACATAATGGGAAGAAATGGAAATTAACTATTCCTAACAATTCATTTGTTATTCTCTAATATCTTCCGTAAGCCCAATTACACGCACTGCAATCCAAAAGAGAAAAAAAACCTAAATTCTCACATTGCTGGTTAACAGATTTGTACAAAAGAGTAATTGGATGTAATAGGATGCCATGACTAAATAGCATCCTAAATGTCCTTATTCTGCTAACTTGTGTCTCTCTCCTCCCTTCCATCCCTATTCTCTCTGCAGATGGAATGACTGCGACCTCAGGAGAGGCAATGAGAGCTGCATTTGAAAGGGCACCTTCAACTCACTGTCTGCCTGATATTCAACGTGTTATCAGGATAATCTGGGCTCTTAAAATGTGCACGCATTTACACACACAAACACACACACACACACACACATACAAATTGCACTACACATTAGTAAATACTGACACTTTCATGGTGCCAGAGAGGTCTATAATCCTCTGGAAGCTGCAGACAATATACAGGGGTAACTAGGCTATCGCTGCCAACAAAACAGCAGTGGCCTTCTGTGATTATGGGTGGCAGGAGATAAAGAGGCGGGAGAGAGGGAATGATATGCATATTATCTGAACTTCCAAGCTTTTGCAATATTATAACAGTCAAATTAGTAATGAACATTAAATGGAGCTACACTGAACTGAAAAGACAGAGAACCACCCTGGGTTCTTTGATTGATGAACCCTTCTTTGACTGATTTGATTACTAGCCCTTTAACAGTGCCTGATGAATAGATCGTGCTTATGCTTATGAAGTCTGCGTGTTTACCGTTTCTGGGATGAATTAACTTTTGAGATCAGGACTTGAACTAATTTCAATGCAAGGACAACAAATAAATGAAATAATTTTGCAAAGGGTCTGTTTCAATTTTAAAGAAAAAAGGAGGAAACGTTCAACACTTCATGTTCGATCATCAGAGGACTTTAAACAGTCGCTGTATCTGTCAGAGTCTGACAAGCCTGCACTATTTATCCTAACAATGTTTAGCTTAAAATACATATAACTATATAACTATTTCACCACACAAAACATAAAAATACATTTCTACCTTGTGGTCATGTATAAAATATAATGTAAGTACATGCTCGTGGGTATGTATCTTTTTGTGTGTAATATAAAGAGAAAGTGAATACCGAACACAGTGAGTCATTGGTGAGTGTGTGTGCATTTATGTGAGCACAGCATGTGTGTTATGGACTTTCCATGGTGCTATTTTAGCAAGGTTTTGCCTCTGATAGAGGTGTTCACAGTCTCTCTGTGTCCATTACACAGAGTGCTGCTATTTCGCTCCACATTCCATGTCATCAAAGGTACTAAGAGAGATAGTGTGTATGAATGTGTGAATCTGTATGTGCACAGACATACACACCAACACACACAAGTGGACTGAGACCACTCTTCTCTCTCCCTATAATTCAACACATTTATTCACTCCAGTTCTACCTTCACAGTCTTTTTTTCTATAGAAATACATGGGCATAGCACCCAACAGTCCATCTAATCCCTTTCTCTCCTCCAGCCAGGCTATAATGAAATCCTCTATGCCACACCAAAGGTTATTCTACCCTGTGACATAACAAAATGATAAATGCCAGTGGTTATGATATTGAGTCAGCAGGGGGGACTTTTGATGTGTGTGTTTGTGTGTTTCTGACCTGGGTCTCAGACATGACATAGAGGTAGTGGTGGTCAGAAGAGAAAGCCATGTCTCTGAGGATGGGTCCGTTCTCCACTGCCTGCACCGTCTCATACTGCAGAGCACGAGAGGAGCCGTCTACCCGGATCTGGAAAAACACAGAAGCACATTAAGAATGAATATATTTAATATATGCATAATATTTCTCATCACTGTAGCAGACACACCACCTCTCAGGAATTTAAATAATAACATTAAAAAGAAACACCCCAAAGCTTATATATTATCAAAACTATTTTAGGAGTTTTGATTCAATGAAGCGGTGCCAACTGTATAGAGTTTACCCGAAGTTGTTAATGTAACTTTATTGATTAAGAAAAGGGCAACTGAAAATGCTACAAAAAAAAACTACCTCTGTGTGTTAGATGCAGCTATATGAATAATATGGATACAGAGGGGGTTAAGTGCTTTGGTCAGGGTAAGTGACATTTTCGCAATTGGTTTGGGTTTTTGAATTCAACAACCATCAAGCACTCTATGTTACGAATGATATCCAACAAGTAGTAAGGATAGTAGGATAGGATAGTAAGGATAAATAAAATGGGCTGAGTAAATGACAAGGCTGAAAACATAACGTGAAAATACAGAATAGCTGAGGTAAAAAAAGAAGCAAAGTGAGGGAGAGAGTATGTATGTCGCCTTCCTCAAGAATACTTGGTAATGGAACAGAGGTGGCGTCTAGGACAACAAAGTGTGCAATTAGGAATCAAGGTATCATTAAAAGGTACTTTTGAACATCATTATTGATAAAATTGCCCATCTACCGCATACTGCCTTAGGATTGTCACATGCATCACGGCTTTCAGTGCTGTATCTGAGAAGCTCATCTCTCTACATCACAGTTTCAGCCATTCAAAAGTGATTACGGTAATTAGGCATCTGGGCAAGAGGTGTGGTCTGTGGGCCCCTAGGTGTGTTTACTCAGCAGAAAGTGAATGGAATTGGCCCCATACACACTTGGTGGTGTGATGGAAGTGTTCTGGGTTGTGCCCGAACATCTGCTTACATCGTCACACACACGCACACTCATAGGGTGCGTTCCAAATGATCCTTTCTAAATCTGGTCCTCTGGCAGTAATTTCCCACTAACACACAGTCCTGACACATACCTACCCAAGCAACTTTCAGCACCCAGTAGAATACACACGCACACACACGCACACGCACACACACACACACACACACACACACACACACACACACACACACACACACACAGAGACTTGTGTGGGCTTGCAGACAGGTGTGAAGCAAGTCTTGTTAAAGTTGTGATGACTCTTGGTAGTTCTTTGTGCTCTTCAGCACTTAAGGGTTCACAGGTAACGGGCACAAACGGGAGATAATTGGACAGGAAGCAGATGGTCGAGCAGACAGGTGAGTCACTTCATGATTAATTATAATATGCTGATGACAACATACACTCTGTCAGCATATCATTAAAAATATCTTTCTGCTGGCCCGCCTTAAGCAAAAGGTTGAGAAGTCTTAACTGGTCTAAGTAGGTAGACTGAACCCTTTAGCAAAATGCTGCTGTACCAATTGAAACAGAACAGATCTTTGTCAGGGGCTGGACAAAATTGATTGTGGTGGATGTATGTATTTTTTTCCTCCTTGGAGAGATTTATTGTAAAGAAAAGATCAAATAGTCACATTAAAATAATTAAAGAGGAAAGGCTTTTGGATGCACCATGGGTCATACAGGAGCACTATATATGGACAACAATTCTCTCTATATATTTCCCCCCCATCATAATAAAATAGCAAGTACTAGGAACACAATATGCACATTATTCATACTTCAGTGATTGAATGTTGGTCGCTCCAGCCCTTAACTTTATTCTACATTATAACAGAAACCAATCAACAACCACCAACAGAACTTTTTTTTGTACTTACTTTGACAATCAACTATTATATAGTAAAGAGAGAAACCTAAGCACACAGGGTGCAGTTTACATGGTGCCCTCCTCCTGCTGCTTCTATCGATATACAGTTTCACAACATGACATTTCTTTAAACAGGCCCCATCTTTCACCCTGATTTCACCCTACTCTCCCTCCTCTCTTTTGTTTCTTAGTCATTCTTCCTCTCTCGCTCTGCCTCCTGCTTGGCTTGTGTAGTGATCTTGATCTCAAAGGACCTTGAGTTCTGTGTATCAAAGCCTCACACACTTTCACTGGGAACCATTGTATGCACAAGGGTCAGTTGCAAAGAAAAGAACAGAAGGCGAATAGGAGAGAGAGTAAGAAGAGAGGGAGGTAGGAAGAAAGAAACTTCCACGCAAGCCAGGGCCAGATTCGGCAGGTGGGGTTATCTAATCTGCCCTATCGGGTGAGTTAAATTGAGGCGCAGTGCGTATGCGCACAGAATGTATGTACATGTGGAGTGTGGAGCCAATTGCTGAGCAGAGTTAAAGGGCAGGTAGTCTATGGCAATGGCTGAATATAGAGTTTTATTGTGTTGGGACAGATCCACGGTCACCAGGGAGCAGAGGGACTTCAAGGGGAAGCTCCTGTATATTATCCCTCAATCTGACCACTGACAAAACAAATGAGCCACCAGGGAGTGCACAGCATGCAACGCTGGCTGGTTGAGTCACAGTGGGACTCAAGTGGAACACACAAGGGAGAAAGAAAGAACTCAAAGTTTATAAATGTATACAATACAGTATTTAACAACAATTTCACCCTATGTATATTTTTTTTAAATATTGGTTTTAAAACAACAGTTAGAGCAGACTTCATCTCCCCTGATATCACACGCTGCGCTTTAAAAAGGCATAATATTCCAAATATCCACCTAAAGTGCTATTCTAAAATTAAATGAAAATAAACAGATGTGTGTGATTTTTATTACAACAAAAAGACACAGTGTCTTCAAACAAAGAGCCTACTAAGCATAGACTGAACACAACCAATACCTTAATTCCCTTGACGAAAAGCCAAAGCTAATGATTATGTTTTGTAATGAAACAACTAATCCTAGTTCCATTGTCAGCTACAGTAATTATTAATATATCTTTAAGTAATTTTTTCATCAGCCTAAAATCATTAAGGCAGCCACAGTGGTGCTAGCCAATATTATCTGATTCCTTTTCAACAGTAATAAAGTGGATTAGCTGCTCTATGCTAAATGGATTACAATGCTAATCTCTGCTATCACATTAGCACTACACAATAGACATTCACTGCCAGACAGACTTCATTTTGCCTCTGAGTAGTGGGAAGGTGAGAGATGCATTGGGCCCACACATAAATGCACACAAAAAAAGTGTGTTCACACAAGAACTTGCACGTATAGAAACATTGGCATTTCACTCTCTCTTTCACACGCTTACACTCACACACACACAGGCTGTCTGGCAAGAGCTACTCAAATGGTAATGACAGATACTCTGGGGAGAGTGGGGAGAGTCATTGGCACTTTTGACTCACAGAGCACACTTCCTCAGACCTGCAAAATGTGAAAAGTAAACATTTCTTTAATAACTTTGTGTGTGTTGGGATCCATATGTATATGTGTGCATGTGTGGGAGAAATCCACGCAACACCAGAGATCATACAGAGAAAATCCTAGTCCTCCTCCACTACATGTATGTGACCACCCTAGCCAGAAACTGTATCCCCCTAGTGGCTGTGACCGATAATTACACTAACACTATCACTAAAGACAGAAATAAAGGCAGTGGCTTTGGCAGGAAAAATGCAGTATAGATGCACCTCAGGTATGTTTTCTCTGTGAGCTTTACACAAAAATATATTATAAGTGTTTTAAAAGCTATTTAAAACTTTTGAGCTCAGTGACTATGCTTCATTTTCTCAGGATCTACCATTAAAGTATAACAGAATAAGAGGGCAGTTTTCATACAGTTTATTAAACAGTTCCAGTTTTTCAAAAAAATATGCAACCTCATGTGCAGATGGTATTTCTGCTTTGAATCTGTCAATGAAAAATAATGTGCCCAAAGTGACTATCTGCCTCTCTCCATGGGGCTAACAGCTAGCAGAAGGTGTGATACAGACAGGGAAGCCATTCCGGTGTGAAAACCACAGGAGTACCCTCTCTCAGTTTCCTTGTTTTGGCACTGTGCGCCACAAAAGCGCAAGGAAACTACCGCACTTCCTCAGACTCTGGATGGAATCCATTTTGAAACAGGTAAAAATGTAATGCTGGAGCCTTTATCTTATTATACATATATTGTTTTACAGAAAAAAACTAAGTCTAAGAACTGTGTTTAAATGGTTAATATTATGTTGTACAATAAAATCAAAAGCATGTAAGCTGTAAATGTACAAAAACAAAGATAAAAACAGTTACTACAATATGGATTGCTTGTTTTGTCACTGGCTAAATCCAACAAACACCTTATATATTCGAGGTCAATAATGTTGTTGCCCCTGTGGAACATTCTTCCAGTGAAATTTGCCCTTTGAAATTCAGTACTTCTGGTTACACATCTGAGCACTTCTATTGATTTTAGATAATCTCTGACCTGGTGTGCCATTATGTAGAAACTACTTTACATCAAGTGGTGAGATGGAGTGTGCACATTTAAGGAGGAGTCCAGCCAATCCTCAGGAGACATTAGATATACTGCTGTAGTAGTGTAGACGATGGTTGTGGCTCAGTGCAGGAAATAACGACAAAATGTCAAAACGACCCATCGGGATGAGACTACACTTGGGAAACGGCACATTTAAAGTGCTACCTAAAACATAAAAATAACTGGAGGAACTATGTGTATGTTTCTATGTGAGGACTGTGCGAGCGATTGGAGAATTGTGTCCTTGTCTGCTATGGCATGCATTTTGGGGTGGCAAAAGGAAGGCCAGTCACACAGAGTGGCAGTCTGTTAAGCATGGCACACACACTAACACACCATGGCTGGAACACACACCATGACCAACACGCTGCTGGTGAAAGCCAGAATAAGCTGCTGACTATAGTATCACTATGGTCTGACATGAGCCATGCAACCACAGTGAGGTGAGTGGGCTGGAGCAGAATGTCATCCAAAGTCATGCATCATGCTGGGAAACTGAAATTACCGCAACATTTGTGCGAGGAATTCCACCAAATCCCTGAAAC